CACCGCGGCCGCCCGCCCGCTCGCCCGCCCGCCCCGGCACTCACGCGCAGCGATTTGCCTCTTGAGGAAGGTCTGCACGTACTGGGGGATGATGCAGAAGAGCAGCACGACTGCAGCGGGAGGAGGCGGCGTCAGTGCCGGCGCGTGGCCCCGGCGCCCGTGCCGCCGCGCCGCCGCGCGCACCGTTGGCCAGGCCGCAGAGCGGCTTGAAGGCGGCGATGATGTAGCAGAGGAAGTAGAGGAAGGGCACGGCGCGCTCGCACTTGTCCTGCGCCTCGGAGAAGAGGCGCAGGCAGCGGCGCCGCGGGGTGCCCAGCTGCTGGTTGCAGAGCTGGCCCAGCCTGGCCAGCCAGTGCCACACGTTGCGCAGGGCGCGTGCTGCGGGCCGGCATGTCGGGGACGCCACGGGCACGCGGGCAGAGTTATGGGCATGGGGATGAGGTTATGGGGATGAGGGCAGGGCCATGGGAATGAGGACGGGGCCATGGGGACAAGTACAGGGCCATAGGGATGAGGACAGGACCATGGGGATGTGCACGGGGCGCAGGGGACAAGGACAGGGCCATGGGGACAAGGACAGGACCATAGCGATGTGCACAGGGCCATAGGGACAAGGACAGGGCTATGGGGATGAGGACAGGGCCATAGGGATGTGCATAGAGCCCAAGRGACAAGGACAGGGCYATGGGGAYGAGGACAGGGCTACTGGGACATGGAGGGCATTTAGGGGACCGGGATGGGAGTTTGGGAGCTGGGATAGGGCCATGGGGATAAGGGGATGGAGCCGTGGAGATGAGAAGTGGCACTGGGCATGAGGACGAGGCCTTGGGAGCGGAGACAAAGTGAGGGGACAAGGATGAGGTGCTGGGGACAAGGCCGTGGGGACAAGAGCAGGGTGATGGGAAGCTGGTCAGGGTGCTGGGGACAAGGGCAGGGTGCTGGGGACAGGCTCAGCCGTCCCCACTCACCCACGTGGGTCACGGAGTCCATGATGGAGCGGAAGAACCTGCGCACGCGGTCGCCCACCGCCTTGGCCTTGCGTGCGATGTCCTTGATCTTCGCCAGCACGTCTGGGCGGCACCGCGGCGGCTGTCACCGCGTGGCGCCGGGGACAGCCGCCCCGCGCCCCCCTGTGCCCCCCGGCTCACTGAGCAGCGGCTGGCGCGCGCGCTGCAGCCGCTCGGCCGTCTGGTTGAGCGCCAGCTCGGCGCCGCACGCCACGGCCTCGGCAGCGCGCGACACGTTGTGCAGCACGTTGGCGCACGGCCCCGCCGTCGCCATGCCCAGCGCCAGCAGCAGCAGCAGCATCTTGCCCTCCTCTGCGGGCACAGGGCGCCAGGGCAGCCGGACGCTTGCCGAGGATGGGGATGAGGATGAGGATGAAGGGGGGGCTTACTGGTGAAGATGTGCGGCAGCGTGAGCAGCACGGTGATGCGCACCTTGACGGAGAAGGCCATGCCGAGCGCCAGCGCCGTGCCCAGGCTCACCGTGGTCACCAGGCAGTACCAGATGTTGTGGCTCTGCGCCAGCAGCACCAGGGCGCCATAGACGCTGCCCAGGGCCATGCCCAGGGTGAAGCCGAGGGCGCTGCGCGCCAGCTCCGGCGCCGYGCGCTCCTCCTGCAGCGCCGCGCCGTGCCGGGGCCGCCGCCACCAGCCCCGCAGCGCCGTGCCCAGCGCCACCAGCGGCCCCATGGCCGCAGGGACGGGCTCCCGCGGCCTCCCGGCACGGAGCACTCCGGATGCTCCATGCGGAACAGCCGTGCGTGGATCACAATGAGCCGCTTCCGTCCCGGCAGCGCCGCCACCATGGAGGCACCGGCGGGCACCGCACAGGAGCCGCCGGCCCTCGGCGAGGTCCCCAAGCGCCAGAAAACCCCCAACAACAGTGAGTTGTGTCCCCCCCTACCCAAGAGCGGCACCCGGCGCCGCGTCCCTGTCACCGACGGGCACCTGCCACTGCAGCCCTGCAGCGGCTGGCGGGGCGGCTGCTGCCCAGCGCCTGCAGCCGCTTCCTCTGGAGCCCTCCGGAGCGGCACCGCCGCACCAAGCTGCTGCTGGGCGCCGGCACCGGCACCCTCCTGGGCATCGGTGAGCGCTGCCCGTGACGGGCACCAGGCGGTGGCACTGTGCGGTGGCCGGTGGCACCACGATGCTCACGGGCCCCAGTGGCGTTTCAGGGCTCTGCCAGCTGCTGGTGGCACCGCTGGCCATCGCAGAGCGGCACAAGGTGCCCCTGGCCTGTGGGCTGGCAGGTGAGGCCGGGGACACGGGGGACAAGGCTGGGGGTGTTGCCACGGTGCCACCAGCGGCTCCCCGCAGGTGCCAGCGCCCTGGGCTGGGCGACGTCTCCGCGGTTCCGCTGTGCCAGCCTCCTGCTGGCGCCCAAGCTGGCGGGCAAGGAGGGCCGCGTCTACGTGCTCTCCTACGTGTTCGCCGCCATCTACAACGGTAGGGCCCCCCCGGGCAGTCCCTGGACGCGGCCCCGGGGTCCCCGCGGGCTGTGACGCGGGCGGTGGCGCGCGCCAGGCCCCGTGGCCAACGTGCGGCACAACCTGGAGGAGGTGATGCGCTCGGTGGGCTGCGCCGCCGAGCTGCAGCTCAACCACAGCCGGCAGCTGTGGCACGTGTCGACGGCCCCGCTGCGCACCGTGCTGCAGGACATGGTGGTGAGGGCGCGCGGCGGGCAGCGCGGGCAGCCGCGCAGGGCTGCGCTCAGCCGGCAGCCCCTTCCTCCTCCTCCTCCTCCTCCTCCTCCTCCTCCTCCTCTTGCTGCTCGGCCCGCTGCAGCGGAGCGGGCAGACGCTCAACGCTGAGACGCAGAACATCTCGCGGGCCTTCGTGGCGCTCAACGAGGAGGTGGCCAGCGAGGCCGGCTACGAGCTGCGGCCGGGCCCGCGCGCCGCCGCCCTGCAGCCCATGAGCACCCAGAAGCTCTACGAGACCAAGACCAAGCTGCGCTGCAAGCGTGAGAGCAGGGCGACCGTGCTGCAGCGCAGGGGCTGCAGGGTGCATGCAATGGGCAACGCATGGTGCAGGCAACGGTCAATGCGTGGTGCATGCAATGGGCAATGTGAGGGGCAATGCATGGTGCATGCAACGGGCAATGCATGGTGCTTGCAGCAGAGTGTTGGTGCATGCAGTGAGCGTGCCAGTGTCTTGGCGCATGCCGGGAGCAATGCATGGGAGGGCTGGTGCATGCCCTCRTGCCTGCTCGTTCGCAGAGGTGATCGACACGGCCATGCAGCACTGCCAGGACTGGTTTAACGAGAAGCACCGGGAGTGCATGGAGCTGATCGTGGTGCCTCTCATCAGCCACCTCCTCTGCCTGCCCATGAAGTTCAGGTTCCTCTGCCACGCCGTCAAGGGTGGGTGGCATTTGGGGCGCTGGGGAGGCCGCTGCTCCGTCTGGTCCAGGGTCCCCAGAGCTCTCCTCCGTCGTCCCCAGTCATGCATGCCTGGTGCCGGGACAGGATCCCCGTGGAGGGCAACTTTGGGAAGATGTATGACATGGTGAACGGCTCTGTCAACAACCTCAGCCAGGACTTCAGCGCCCAGCTGGTCTTCCAGGTGGGCACCCATCCCAGCCCATCCCGTCCGTCCGATCCGGCCGCATCCCATGGCACCGTGGCGCGGCTGTCCCAGGAGGAGCACCGCGACATGCTGCTGGGCGCCAACGTCTCGCGGGAAGAGCTGCTGGAGACGGTGACGTCCCGCGTGGAGCACCACAGCGCCCAGCTGGGCCGCACTGTCTCCTTCTTCCGCCTGCTGCTCTCCGGCACCTTCCTCCTCGTCTTCCTCTCGTGAGCAGGGGCTGGGTGGGACCGGTGGCACGGGGAAGGGGTCGCATCCCACCCCTTGCCACCYGGTACCCTCTCCTCCAAGGGCCTTCTCCTACACCAAGCGCTACAACCACGACCTCTCCTTCGACAACGTCTACATCACCACCTACTTCCGACAGATCGACGCACGCCGCTGCAAGCAGGTGAGGAGGGACGGGGCGCACGGAAGCTCCCGGCGCGGTGACGAGGCCCGTGCCGAGCAGCCCCGCTCGCCCCGGGCAGAACAAGCGGACGCTGCTGCCGCTGCGCCGGGCGGAGGCGCCCGCCGTCGTCTTCCCCGGCCGCCTGGGCRTGCAGCCGCTGGAGCTGCAGAGCATGGTGAGGCCGGGGGACGCCGAGGGCACACGGGACATGGCCGGGGCGAGGGGACACCCGCCAGCTCGGCCCCGCAGGTGGTGGAGCTGCTGGACTGCATCCCGCCGCTGCTGCTGCTGCTGCTGGCCTGGGGGCTCGACCGGGTGCTCTTCACGGTGCTGGGCGCCGTGCGGCAGCACTCCTTTGTGCAGTACTCCTTCCGCAGTGAGTGCGGCCCCGCGGCGGCGCCTGCGGCCGTGCCCGGCCCGGCGCGCGGGCCCAGCGCGCTGCCCGCCCCGCAGGCAGCCACCACCTGGAGCTGCGCGTGGCCGGCACGTCGCTGCTGGCGCGGCTGCTGCGCAGCACCGTGGGCGCCCTCAACACCTCCTCCCACCTGCACATCGACTCCTCCAACCTGGGTAGGCGCCGGCACAGGGCGCGGGGCGCCGCGGCGGGCACCGCTGCCCGCTGCTCAGCGCCGCTGCCCGCCTGCGCAGCCTGCCTGCCGCAGCCGCGGGCCATGACGACCCAGGGCTACGTGGCCAGCTGCCTGCCCCTGGCTCTGCTGGCGCTGCTCTGCCTGGTGCAGGTCTACACGTACCGCCTGCGCCGCGTCCTCGCCGCCTTCTTCTTCCCCAAGGTGAGCCGTGGCCGTGTCCCCCGGGGCGGGCGCGCTYGGCGCGACTGCCAGTGCTGATGGCGGGCGCAGCGGGAGAAGCGGCGCGTGCTCTTCCTCTACAACCAGCTGCTGCGCCAGCGCCAGTGCTTCGTCCAGCTGCAGCGGCGCCGCGTGGCCCGCCGTGCCCAACAGCGCCAGGGCCTGGTGAGGCACCGCGCAGGGCTGGGGGGCCGTGCGGGAGAGGGGAGCAGCCTGGCCGGGCGGGGGACGCGTTCCCGCCGCGGGGCACCTGTGCCCTTGCAGGGGACGTCGGTGCTGGAGCGGTGCTGCCGGCGCTGGCCGGCGCTGCGGCGCTACGTGCGCCAGCGCTGCGTGGTGTGCGAGGAGCCCGAGGGGCCGCGGAGCCGCGTGTGCGCGGTGCCCGCCTGCGCTGCCGTGTACTGCGGGCCGTGCTGGAGGGACGCGGGGCGCGCGTGCCTGCTCTGCCGCCCCGGGGACAGCGGCCTCTCCGAGGACAGCAGCGAGGAGCGCGCGACCTACGCAGCCTGAACGCAACGCCCGCCCCAATAAAGGCCTTGGGTGCCCAGGGTGGCGCAGGCGACGGCGTGTGATGTGCATCGGTGGGGACGCACCGCGGGGGGACACTCGGGCACCTCTGATGCACCCTTAGGTGAAGACGGGGGGCGTCTCAAGGACACTGGACAGCAAACACTGGGGGGCAAAGACAGGGAGGGGGCAGCAGCAGGTGGCAAAGCGGGGCCCGGGGCTCATTGCATGCCTGGCGGAGGGTCCCGGCGCTGCCGCTAGGGGCCAACCCGGGGGTCCCGCAGCCCCGGCGGCAGCGGCAACTCCCGCGGCCCCGGGCCCTGCCCCGGCGGGCGGAGCGGCGGCGGCGGCGGGCGGAGCCGGCGGCGGGCGGGCAGGAAGTTCCTCCTCCCGGGCCGGGCCGGAGCGGGCCGGGCGCTGGCGGCGGCGGCGGGGCGATGCGCGCCGGTGGCGGCGGCGGCGGCTCAGCTCGGCGGCAGCCGCCTGCGCGGGGCCGCCGCGCCCCGCAGCGCCCGCGGGCCGCGTCCCGAGCCCGGTACCGGCTGCGGGACGGCGATGGCACCGCCGCTGCTCTGCGCCCTGGCGCTGCTCCTCGCCACCGGCACCGGGGCGCGCGGACACCACGCAGGTGAGCGCACGGCACCGGGACCCCTGGGCCCCCCGGACCGGGCGGAAGAGGGATCAGCACCGGGGAGAAGATCCCGCCCGGGTCCCGCAGAGCCGCAGCCCGAAYTGGGCAGGGTCCGCCCGCCCCGACGGGGCCGCAGCATCGCTCGGGGCCGGCGGGTCCCGGTGGCTGCGGCGGCGCCGGGGACGGTGTCCGTGGGGCCGCGGCGCCACCCGGGCTGCGGGGAGCGGCGGGGGCGGC